AGCGAATGTGTAATTAATAAGTAAGTACTTCCCAGTGGATATGTTTGTCAATCCCACTGTAATGGGGGCGAGATAATAATAAAATATATATATATGATAAAAATAGTAACTGAAAAACTAACCGATAGAAGGAATGACAATGCTGAAATATAAATACTGGCTGCTTGAGGCCAATTTTGAGGTCTAATATAATAGAAAGTTCCAATTTGGGAATGTAAGAAGTCTACTTTAGTCAATCGGTTTCTTCAATTAGTTTGAGACAATGTTTATCAATTCTTGGTTCAACTAAAACATTTTGCTTATTTAATGCCAAATACATAATAACAAAGAATATATTTCCTTCTAAAAAGTCATTACTTATGAATACATAAGAAATTAAATTAAATTACTTATGTTTTAAATATATAATTTGGTACAGTTCAGTGGTTTCTATAATTATTCAATCAGTTATTACTCATTGTGGTGTATTTATTACAGTCATCGTAGCAACTAGCAACATTTTAATAAATTAAATTAATTTAGTGTCAAGTTCAATGGATTATAAATAGATACAAGCCTATAATATGGTGGTTATTTTATCTTTAAAAGTCGGATCATTAATTTAAACCAAACATTAAATAAAATAAAAATGTCTACCTATCGATCAGTCAATGGGTGTTTCTAATTTTAATCAGATACATACAAACAATACCGGTTTTTGTTTGTTAACAATGTCGCACAGTCTAGTTTTTTTTTAAAAAGCCTTGACGTAAAAAGGCACTTCTTAAAAGTAGCTATCTACCTATCAGCATCACCTATCGTTTTCACTCGATTCTTGCTCACATCATCATATGATTCAAGTTCCGGAACCCTTGAGATAAGATGTCCCGATTTTCTCAGTATACGAACATAAGTAAATACTTATCATAGTTTGTCGTAAATTCGTGTAATCTAAAAGTAGGATCTAGGTAAATATATTATATGTAGATTGGCAAATCTGAAGCTATATCCGTATAAGCATAGAACAGAAGTATAAGTATTGAATGGCAGTCATTAATTTTGAGGCTCATTTCTTTTATCTCATCTCATCTCATCCACTATGTTATTTGTTTTTCTAGAATCTAGGACAAAGAAATATTGTTATGAACAATTTTAGCTATTTCTAATTTAGACTTATTTTATTATATTAATAAGTATTATAAGAATAGAAAGAATAGACTGTATTCTAAAACATAAATGTGTACTAATACTGATCATTCTTCGGCCTTAAATTCCACTAGATATTGATTGTTGTCATTAAAACGTCATATTCAATATCTTAAATTATGATCAACATACCACAGGAGCCCCTTTGTATTTATTGATTAAGACTTCCATGCACATAAAAGAGAATTACACAACACATATCTATTCCTAAGTGACTTAACGGCATGGATACTTACCAGTCTATCTTACTAGTCTAATTTTAGTAGAACCATTTCTATGAATTCTCCTAGATTATATGTAACGGAAATCCCATTGTTTTTTCCCATCGCGATCGTTTCGAAGCTAACTCCCCACACAATTAAGTAAAAACAATTTCAAACTTCATTAGAAACATCGTATAAAGACCAAGGGAACATCATTTACAGAGCCTAGACACGAAATATAACTTCGGCAATCGAGTATCATAATACTAGGTAAGTACTTAGATGTCCTAATGGACTAAAATGTCATGTTTAGCAAATACCTTTTCAAATGAAACCTATATTTTCTTGAAAATTTAAACATTACCACAGCAATTTCTGTGTAACATACAACAGTCTGAGAATCTCACAAGCATCATGTTGTATGAAACACACAACTGCTTTTGAGAATTACCTACTGAGTACTTCAGAAAAGACTAGACAGTTAGTTTAGTCATTGCAAGATAGCTACCAAAGAATCTCCTCCAGATTCCGCGACCGAACAGAACTATGCCTATTGTGTTTTTTACTATCGAGTGTTTTAGAATGTACTTAATCTAATAATTACCCTATGAATTAACTTAACAAGTCTAAAGCAGCCTTAATACCTACTACATAGGAATCACTATTTTCTACTACAGCGGATAAGTTACATTTTCTTAACTATTGCTAATCATATCGACGTTACTCACATATTGGACGAACAATAGACAGACATGATTTAAATAATTGTGTTTATAAACAGCTGTACTGTATTGGGCAGAGTCATGTTTTACATATAAGTCCAGCTCATACGACACAACGAATTATACTAGGTAACTACTAGTACATTGATGATGTAATACGGTCGATATGAACGTAAACATGCTTTGTCTACTAATATTAATAAAAAAGTAATGCAATGCAAAAGGAGAGAGACAATCTTTCAAAAAGACACAATGATAATATAATCTTCCGCCGATATATCTATTTTTTTATTTGAACAATTGTTACTCTTCTAAACCAGACCTTAAAGCGATGATTAACCAAAAACGGTACTGGGACGTTAAAACGTAAATACGGCCTAAAGACGTCAAGTACCTTAGATCCCTTAACATATTGTGATAACTATAACATGAATAAACTATAATCTAAATAACCTGACATTGTGCGGTAAATAAAAATTAGGTAACATTACTAAATTACGCTTGTTATCCAACACTGAACACTATCTTTTAAAACAGTATTGTTTGGAGACACAGAGACGTTTCACTTTGTTTTCATTCCTAGCACCAACCACATTCTTTTCTCACAACAATGTTTCAAGATCTAAGATAGGTATTGTAAGTACTGCATTCAAACTATTAATTTAATCCATTAGGTGAATCTAAAGTCCATTACTGTGATTTAGCTGACCAAAAGACTCCAGAAATCGAAATAACATGAATTTTACAGCTGATCGGGCGAATTTTACGTTCATCAGTTTGGTCACTCTTCCAAAAGCCGAGGTTAAAATGTTTTACCGAAACCCAATGCTCGCCATACGAGGAGCATTAAAACTAAACGTGGAAATTCAACAATGAACTGCAAATTGAAAATATTGATTTTGTAACACTAACGCCGCTCATTGAATCAATGGTTCTGAAATCATATCGGTTCCGACGTCCAATTTTGTTTTTTTTTTTCAAAACGTATGCAAATTATGCAATGTGTTTTTGCGCGAATATCATTAAGCTAACATTATTGGAACCTAGAAAGGAAAGACATCGGCAATACATTTCAAAAAATATGTACAATGACTTTAAAGATAATGACTTTAAAGAGGTTTAAATGAATTTGTAACTTACTATTGTAGATGTTTTAGGGTTCAACGTATCTGTAAGTAGACTTTGTACCTCGACAATACACTTAATACACCCAAGTTAAATAAAAACTTAGCCTTTATTAGCACTTGCAAATGGGTGTCTATCTATGAGAAAACTCGTGCTGTTTATTGTAAATCGTTAGTCATAAAAAACTATGCTATTCTATTCCATTGAAACGAACCAGATTTTTATTTTAGTTTACGATGTAACATTTATGTTCGATATTTAAATATTCTAATTCTTGTTTGGAATTTCCTAGTACGTAGGCATTAGATGTTTTTTAGGGTTTTCCATTTTCAAATTCGCAATGCGTGTCAGACTAAACAGAAACTGTATTTAACACGACTTCTTATCTAAGGACTTTCTCCTTCTTGCATCCCATTAATTAGCACAACATTTTCTACAAAATGTATTCGCAATTTTTATGAAAATGGCTTGATTACCTTTAATAAGACTATTTACTTAACAACAATACTTATGCGTAAGTAGTTAAGAGGTTCAATGAACTTGTTAGTGCAAAAAACTGTAATTCTTCTAATTAAATTTTAACAATACTTAAGTAGCAGTGTGAAATAAAAGTACCTATGTCTGATAATTATGAGTAGTCTTGTAAACAATCTCATACAATTAGATACAAGTAATATAAAGCGTTTTGCAAAGAAAAACACTGAACGACCTTGCCACCTACGTGGACGTCTATTTAACATACTTTTTATGATACAATGTATCACGAGTGGAAATAGATCAATACTTAAAATCTACAAATATCAACCATAATAATAATGTTAGCTTTATTTATGAATGTTCTACGTACCTTAGAATATTTAAGGGATATTCTTTCAGTCACTAAACTACTTATTTTGCATATTAGTAAATTTATTTTACTACAAATAACAACAAATATCAAAACTAAGAATTAACCGCCATGTTTGTTGTTTATATTTTTCTTAATTTTCGAATACTTGGGTTGGGAAATATTTATATTCGGCCTATTGATAAGTTTAAAAATGGAATGTGATATCGGCCTGTATTGAAATAACGTATTTGCTTTATACTACACAATTTGTTTAGAAAGTTAAGTGCATTTGCAAACCCTAATAATAATAAGAAATTAACGAGTTCAATTTAAATTTCCTGGGTGACAAAAGTATTTCTTTGTACGGTAGTATTTCTTTGGGGCCGGTACTTGTAAATTATTTAAAAATTAAATAATTTACAAGTACCGGCCCCGGAGTAACCGGTAAAAGTAGGTACCTACTTAAACCAAATATTCTATATAGTTCTACCCACCCATCTTGAAAACAACGTTAAGTTACTTATTTATTACATCAATTACCTATAAGTATATTTAAATACTTGCTAAGAATAAATCTAAATGTCATCAACGGGTACTAAATACTTATAAGCCACCTGCCCACTTGCCTCGCACTATATGAATAAACATCAAGGTGAAACCTCATAACACGGCAACTAGACATAAGTATGTGTACGAGTATGTGCGCTATAATAGGTACTCAGTAAAGTACAGTTCAGCGCTTTCATAATTATTACCAAAAACAAACAAATAAAGGAAAACTCATTCAACAAAATGAACATAATAACACAGCTTAAACAAAGCACTAGTTCCACGCACCTAGCAGGCAAAACATAATCTTATCAATTCGTGACAAAGCCAACCGACGATAACGCAAATATTTTCCTCGATATCTTAAAGAAACTCAAGTGACCTCACCTGCGATATTTCTCCTTTTTCGATTCCACCGGCATCAATACCGGTTCCGTAGACTTGGAAATACACCATTCGTTCACTGCACTCACAGTAAGGAACTCCGAGTCCGGCGCATGGCATACCTCAGAGCCGAACTCGTCTGAAGATACAGTAATACTGTCGTACTTCTGGTACGGAACCATATCGAAGGACGATATCGACTTAATACTAACATTGTCATAATTAGCACGATCACCAAAGTCACCAGAGGAGACTGACGCGTCGTCTCCTCGTTCACTGATTTCATCACTATTTTCTTCGTTTATCAAAGTGTCTGTAGAATGATCGGTAGACAGCGTCTCCGCTGCACCGTCATCTATGTTCACTACATACTCCTTGCCATTACTCAAATTGTCACTGGAATCACTACTACTGTCCGAACTATCGTCTGTGGATTCATCATTGTCCTCTTGACTTGGCAACTCTTCCTCGTTGTCTGATGGGTCTGATCGCTTAAGTCTTAACAATTTTTCTAGATCACTCTGTTTAACGCCGTAAGACCAATGCGTCTCCCCAGGATGTCCTTGACTTGCATTAGATTTTTTCCTCATAACAGGTGGTTGTCGAGATCGTCTCGTAACCACAGGCGATGAATTTGGTGTGGCAAAGGAATACCGCCTTTCTACAAAATTAGTTTCTTCTGGAACAGGTGACTCCCTTTCTTCCGTTTCCGGTCCGTCCGGTGTAGGGTCATCCTTAAATTGGTCCGGTGGTGGTGGTGGCGGTGGTGCAGGTCTATGCGGTACAATTACATCTCCTGGTTTCCGGTCCGAAATAAAACCTGAAGAGCTAGATTCGTAACTACGTTCTGAAGTATTAGATAAAATTGAATTCACAGATATATTCGAATTTCTATCTTGAGACTTCGCCACTGGATACAAGTGCGGGAAATGGGTTTGTATAGGATTAGCCACATTTGTTAAACTTCCCAAAGGTGATTTGCACTTATCTATCGACTCTCGAGATCCACCGAAATTGTTTAAGTTGCTCCTTTCAAACCGAAGAATCATATCCTTAACACTCGACCTGTCCTTTCTGATGATAACTCCATCTTCGTCGGAAACATTTCCGGAAGATGATTGGAGCTCGTAGTCGAGCCGGGTGCAACACTCTTCTTGTGTCATGGTGTGATGTAGGCAAACACAAGGTTACACAAGCCGCACACTCGAGTGAGCGGGCTCATATCAAAACGTCCACGGTACGCACTCCGACACGCGCGCGCCACTGATAACCAAACACGACTGACAGCGGCGCGCGCGCTGCGCCACGCCGCGGTCGCGGCTCACACAAACAGCTAGAAACGGAACGCGGAGTTCCACTTATAATGGACGCATATTAATCACCGTACAAAATAATATTTGTTTGGTTCTTTTGTGCTAAATCATAAGCATTAAAACGTTTACGTGTTACGAAACATTCGTAAAATGCTTTATTGTCAAAAATAGTATCTTTGAAACCGCGTTTCATAGACAGATAAAAACTATTCCTCATGAAAAGCGAATGTCAAGATTTTCATAATTTTATTATCAATATCCAAATAACGATTTTATGTACATCTTGGCATTAAAAGTCAGTCGGTTAGGTCAACATCAGTTAGTGTATCAAGATCTGTGTTTATCTTACTTGTATCGGTTGTTATTGTGTGATTGGCAATTGAGTACAACAACAAGCAGCCGTCTGGGGTTACTAAACCCAACAGTACTAAATCGTATTAATTAAGGCTTTGAGCCACTACCAAGGTTGTTGCTGTCGCTAACAATTTACTTTAGCTATTGAAAATAAGGTAAAATCTGTTCGTACAATTAACATGAACTTAGTTTAATTGATAGAATAATAAATAAGGGGCCCTTCATCAAATATAATATTATTTAGTTGAATTTACTGTGGCGACATCGTGACGATTTGATTACTGATAGCGATATCTAGAAGACGACCTTTGAATGGGCTGGAATTTTAGTAATCAACATTTTTTAAGTTGTTTTCTGAGAATTAGATACTACACCAAAAAAGTGTGTAGTTGTGTATGCCTCATATGCAAGAGTACGGTATTCAATCCATTTTTAGTCTATCATTAACACTCATTCGCATCGCATGAGTGAGCAAGCTACCGGCTTCCGAAGCATGATACAAGCTTATAAAATGCATCGTTGCAATTATAAAACGGAGAACACTATTACTGAGTTTTCTAGATCAGAATCGACGGAGAAAATTTTCATGGCAAGAAACTTATATGACGTTAATTAAGGCTAAAGAATTATTTGTTTAAATTTTGGTAGATATTGAAAATATTTACTTCAAATACCTAGGTATTGTACACAAAGCATAAGTACATTTTATTATTAAATAACTCTACAGAGGTAAGAATTTCTCGTTATTATTAGCGGTTTCATGATCGATTAGACAAATGATCGAAGAGACGAGAACGATCTTCAAATTCCATAGATAACATTGGATATATCTACTAAAGGAACATACCTATTCTTCACTTAATCAAGCCAGATTTATCCTTTTGAATGCACCGATATGAGACACAACATTGTATCTTGGGTGGATCCACGTCTTAGACACACGAGAGGTTAAAATTAAAAACAAATAAAAAATAAACTGACATCAATTCTTTATTCAATCTCCATAAAAATAAAATTGTACTATTTGGTAGCCAGTGCCACTAATCAACTTCTAAGCGTCTGAAGGATCCTTCTACTCCGAATAAGTTGGAGGAGTTCTTTGGACAGCCAGGCCTCTCGGACTCCTCCGAGCGTGCCTCCTCTTGTTTCAAGAACCAGTCGCGGTAACTCTCTACTTTAGCTTTCCAGTGATCTGCGAAAATTACATTATGTGTGAGTTTCTAGTCACCGCTTTAATGACACTTACGTTACTTTGCTGTCTGTGAATTTGTATGCGTATAAAAATACCGTTGTTTTTCTCTCTCGTCAAAGTTTCAGGGACTTATTTCATATGAAGTAAACAGCGTCCTGACTGATTAAAGAAACTGACTTGCTAATCGTGAACTTAGACAGTTTTCTGTCAGTTCCTATATGTGAGACACTTAGTACTGTAAAAAAGAACACACAAAAACATTTATCTGAATATAAAAATAAATTGCTCAAACTCCTAAAGAAACCCATATGTCACAGATACAGATACATTGTCTGTGAGTAACGTAAACATATTATGGGTATGTCGTCATAATGCACTGAGAACTGTTTAATTCTGCAGTCTACAACGTCTACAAGCCATTACTGCAATGTAGTTACACAATAACAATGACTACTTCCATTTTCTACTTACTAGTAATTTGGTGTTAAAGAGTTAATGCAATGATTTGTGGTTTTTGGACTCATATATTGACGACTGAATCGTACCTATTAAAATTCCAGTGTTGAGAAACTTAATTATCGAACTTGATGACATAGTGTACACTTATTGGATAATATTACATTTTTAACTAATATTCATACTTAAAGATTTCACACTTGCTTCACTAGTTATGAGCATGTAAGTACTCATTATAAAAATTACAGGAAAGGTTTCGTTTCCTTTAATTTTTAAGTTTCGTCCCGGTATACCTATGGCAATAGGCACACTCCCTATTAAGGTGCTCCCACACAGCAGTTTTATAACGTTAGAGACTGAGTTAACATTTGTTTTTAAACGAATTACAACAAATTTGTAGTAGTAACTTGATATGTTGTAGAGTATGTTACAAAATGTTAACATGTTACACAATGTGATATAACGTTATACAACTGCTGTGTGGGAGCACCTTTACAAGGGACTTATAACATAAATAATGAAAAGAAGGTGTTACATTGTACTATGGCATAATGTGCACCTCTGCCTACCCCTTCCGGGATAAAAGGCATAATTTTATGTTATGTTATGTAGGTTTCGTTTTCAAAATTCTTACATCTGTCAAAATAGATCCAGTTACTGAGCCATTTTAAAGATTTTATCACTCCATTTAAATGAAGGGCGCTTAATGTCCCACAGACTTCTAGAGTCTACCATATATATTGTATAGGTACATGACAAAAGGTACCTGTTAATTCTTGCAAGGAGCCATCAGTGCCGCCATATTCCACAGGAAGGATAGACTTTGGTATTGTTTTATACATGGCCGGATAATTTTGATTGTGAACACGAATCTGTAACCCAAACAATAGTGTTATTAATACACTGCATTTGTTAAGCCTACAGCCCACTTCAATGAATCGATACTTGTATTACTATTGCTTAGAACTTGTTTAAACAAAAATTACCGGGAAACATGACCAATACGAAATGTATTAAATTGTAATCATTAATGTTTTCTATTGGCATGACAAAGACCTGACGCCTTTTATTCCTGGAAAGTGTAACCAGGCATAATATTATACCATTAGAAATATCAACTTTTCCCTCGTTTGTCCAACCTGAGAAATTATACAAGCAGACTAGGTCGGCACTAACTTCAATTGACTAAAACGAATATGCACAATCAAACATGAGACATTTTTACGTATGATTCTGGTATTTCTATTAATTTATCGAAGACGCTGTGATACAGTACAAGCTGGTGGAACTAGGAGGAACTAGTTTTCTCCGGAAATACCAAAGAAAGAAGCTATAATTTAGACGAAGTAAGAAACACATGCAGAAAAACTGTTAGGAGAAAATTAATAAAGAAATTAACACGCTATACAATTAACACATTATACTAACTACAAGAATGACAACCTGATTAGGTAATAACATATTAAACCGGCAAAAGTAGACCTAGTTACTATTAACATTAGTAGACCTACAAAATATAAAGCCGTGACGTAAAGACCTGTTATATTCAGACTAACGCCTAAATTCCTTACCCTTTTCTTTAATTTGTCCGTTAAAAATGCTTTGAAAATTTTGAAGGCAGTCTCGAATCCTACAGGCGTGTTTAAAATATGAGCCCCCTTCACTCGAATCGGCAGACCCTTCTCAAACGACGAGATGACTTTCTTGGCTAACGCTGGAGTCCATTGACTTAAAACACTTATACCTACATCTTTCATGTCAATTATTAGCACCTGAAACATGAAAAGAAAATGAGAGACAAAGTTATATGTAAGGATTTGATTATGAACGCTTTTAAAAACGTCTTCGTAGGCATTTTTTCAGCGAAATACAAATTCCTTCAAAAAGGAAGGTAAAGGTAAGGAAAGAAAGGTCTGTAAGCGACCCTTATAATCCCATCCTGACTGGAATGCCGTCAAATTGAGCTTACCTCGCCAGCTACAGAGAAATTGTCATCTTCAAGCATTAATATCTCGGTCACCATGAGAGCCGTCTTAATTAAGTCAGACAGGTGGTACTTCGAAGGGTCAAAGACCCCAACCCTCACTATACTTATGCGTGGCGCATCTTCTCCAGCGCAATTCTTCAATGGTAGAAACGCTCTGAAAGTAAATGAAATATTCATTTTTATCTATCCAGCGGGCTGAATGACTACTGCTAAAATATAAATGTATTCGCACAAAAATAAAAGTAGAACGCTGGAGCCGTTTCCAAAACCACATTTCAGCCGAAAGTGCCCACTGTTCCACTTTCCTCATTTAGTCAGCATTGATTAGACGCTGGGGTAAAAATATTTTCTTACCCGAGTTTAAGTATTTCTTGAACCTTAGCTCCGCTGGGATCTCTATTTGCGAAAAATTCTGGTATAACGGATTTTAAAGTGTAATACATATCCAACTTCTCTTTGGCTCTTTCAAGACTGTATTTCCCACCCCGCAAGAATCCTATCAGCCATTGATCCGCTGAAAATAAAATTTGTTTTACTTTTTTTGACTAGTATCAAAACTATGCTTTACGTATGCCTGACTTGTTTGCACTTACTATTATAAATATTATTAATTTCTAATGTTTAAATTAAGTACAATGGAAAACAGAAAATTATACTTGTGGCGACATCTATTCGATTTACACTGAAACGAATAAAAGCAACAACACCGCAACTGGCGTCACTATCGTCGACACCAGTCGCAATGAAAATTGTGGCACTTGACATCGTTCAGAAAATATATAATAGATGTCACTACCAGTCGCACATTTACATTATTACTATTTACTGCAACGTTTTTGTTTAATTAAGCGTTTATTATTTAAGTGTTGTCTTTATTAGGAATACATATTAGGTAAAAAACAAATTGCAAAAGTCTAAGTCGTTTAAAAGATGGCTTTTGAAATAGGTCCATGCTTATTGTACAAATCCTAAAAACACAATTGGAAATACCTAATT